GTGGTGGGGACGCCTCAGCACAGTGCCTGGGACCTGGGAACAAGGTGGCGTCTTGTCCCCAACCTCAAACCCACGGACATCCAGGGGGACACCCCGAGGAGAAGCGGGGACCCCGGCAGGACCCAGAGGAGGACGGAGAGGAGAGGCTGCGGGGGGTTGTGGAGGGCTCCGGCAGTGATGGAGCAAAGCCCAGGCGGGTGTGGGACCCCCGCTCCGGGGTGCCCAGCCTCGCCGGGATGCGGCACTTTGGTTTCAGCTGGGATTGCGGGTTGGGAACGCAAGGAAGGAGCTGGAGAGACCCTCGCCCGCCGGGGATGGGGTCCCGGTGCCACGCTCGGTGCCTGAGGAGAGCCACATCTCCCCTGCCACCTCCTCCAGCCTGGTGCCACAGCCAGCACCCAGCACCCGGGCTCTGCCTCCCCATGGGGACCAGGACCTCCGTCAGGCTGTCCCCATGCCCCCAACACCGTCACCCGGCCCCAGCCGCGATGGCGGGGAGGGAACCCAAGAAGGGGAGCTGTGGGTGGCCACGGGGACCCGATCTGGCCGAGGACCGTGCCCGGCCACCCCGGCATCCCAAGCTGCCCCACAGCCACCAGGGTGTCCCTACCCACCGGCCAGGCTGTGCCAGCACCACACGGCTCATCCGTCTGCCATCTCCCAGATGCCACAAAGCCACCAAAGGATGTGGCTTGGGCATGGCACGGGGCACGCATCCCCTGGCCCCCTACATGCTCCAACACTATTTTGGAGCAAAACCCTGCGGAAGCACCCGCCGCTCCGCCCAGCACCGCCACGGCCCCCTCTGCACCCGCATCGCTCCGGTCCCGCGGCCACACCGCCACTGCCATCCTCCCCGCATCACTAATTTTTGGGAAATATTAGACTTTAAAGCTGTCGTTCTGGTTTGGACGTCTGCTAGTGCCGCGCCACCCGTCCCCTTCCTCCCTCGGCTTTTGGTTTCAATGCAAGGTTCTGTAGGGTATTTTTATTATTATTAAAAGAAAAAAATAATTAAAAAAAAAGGCAAAACAGAAGGGAGTGGAAACGAGAGCAGACTCTGTGTAAATGCTCTCGTCTGCGGTTTCCCGGCGAGGCGGAGGTAGAGAGGCAGAGCCCCGGCGCGGAGCGGGGCCGGGGGCATGCGGGGACACGCGCAGCGGGGAGGGCAGGGATGGGATGGACCCCCAGGAGAGCAGGCGGCCCCGCAGCAGGCGCATCTGCAATACTCTTATATATTACCTCTTCTCAGGAAACGTAAGAAAAATAGACAATATTACATATGTCACACCATAAATAAAGTGAACAGTCACTCAAGGGGCAGCCAGCAAAGCTCCCAGCCTCGGGGTGCACCCTCCCGGGGGGATGCACCGAGGCCTTGGGGTGCACAAACCAACCCCTGGGGGGATGCACCGAGGTCTTGGGGTGCACAGAACCCCCCCGGGGTGGATGCACTGAGGTCTCAGGGTGCACAAAGTCACCCCTGAGGGGATGCACTGAGGTCTCGGGGTCCTCAAATCCACCCCTGGGGGGATGCACCAAGGTCTCGGGGTGCACAGAAACCTCCCGGGGGGGATGCACCGAGGCCTCAGGGTGCACAGAGCTGCAGCAAGGCTCAGTGCTGGTGGCACAGGGCCGTTAACGCCACCTCGGAGGTGCCCCATGCACCCAGCTCTGCTGCGGCGCGGCACGGCACACGGCGTGGCACGGCACGGCACAGCCATCGCAGGAGGCAGCTGCAAAGGCAGCGCAGCAGCCGGACCCCTGGGTGACTGGCAACACAACCGACCCGGCCCCAAACCCTTCCCTCCTCTTCCTCCCCTACAGAAAACACACAGGATGGTTTTTGCAAATGCGGAAAAACTACAGCTCCTAGCGAGCACACGACTTCAGTTTGCCTCCGGCCAGCCTCGCTCCCCCACGCCACAGCCTCCAGCGGGTTCTCATCATCCTTTATTTGGCAAATGTCTCTTATTATTATCACTATCATTATTATTATTATTATTATTTTTTGGACCTCTGCAAAACACTATTTACATTCACATTAGCGTACAGCACTCCTGCCCCGCGTGGGGCTTCCCTCCTCGGAGCCGGGGGACTTTCCGTATTGCACTCCCGTCCTCTGCGCTTTGTACAACGATGCCAGAAATACAAAATAATCAACATCGTCCTTGGCTGCCTCCTCGGCCAGGAAGGAGGTGGCGCTCGCTTTCCTTTCCTTTCTTTTTTCCTCTTAAAAATCCTTGCAAAATAAATCAGACGCGGGGTGTGGGAGCAGCCCGGCAGTGAGGGGCTGGGGGGGGGTGTCCACCCCGACGGCTTCGGGAAGGTAGAAGAACCAAAATCCAGCTTTTAATCTTTTTTTTTTTTTTTTTTTAATTCTCTTTTTCCAGGGCGGCGGCGGGCAGAGGTAGAGATGTGCCGGCTCCGGCTGCGCCCACCGGGCGGTTCTCAGCCACCATCTCCCCCTCCCACACCTCGGGGGCTTGCTTTTTAAAAAGAAAAATTAAAAAAAAAAAAAAGGTGGGGTTTTTTTTTTTGCTTTAGTTTAATAGAAACTCTTTAAAGCCCCGGGGGCACGTCCGTCCGTCCTTGCCGGGAAGGGAAGGAAGCAACAACAGAACGAAACGAACTTTGGCAGTGGAGAGACGTTTGGATCTTCCTTGGTTTTGGATTTCCTTTGGAGCAGAGGTGAGTCTGGTCTGTTCTTGGCTAGCTAGCAAGGTAGTTACAGGTGAGCGGCCGCCACGCGGCTTGACTTGGCGTCGTCTGGTTTTTGGATTTTTCTTTTTTTTTTTTCTTTTTCTTTTTT